TTTAGATAAAATAAAAAAATATTGCTACTTTAATATAATTTATTTGCAAATTTATATATTAAAATTTTTAAAAATAAATTTTTAAATTTTAAATTAAATTTTTAGTTTATAAATGTAAAAATTAAATTTTAATTAAATGAAATAAATTGTGTTAAAATTGATATTCTAAATTTTTTTAGTTAAGACTTGAGAACTTATATACATTATTTTTTATATATAAATATTTTATTTCAATAATTTATTTAGTAAAAGTAAACTGATGAGAACCCCAAAGAGAACAATGAGATTCACAGCATGACAAAGGATTTTGAAACTCCAAAAAAGCTAAATCAAATTTATAATAGAATCTTGATCTGTTGTTTATGTCGCAACAAGAATCAAAGGTAAAAACCTGTAATATCCCAAATTTTCTAAAAACCTTACACTTTAAGTTAGGGATTTATGTGGGAGAATTTATCATTTGTTGAGCCTATTGACCAAAAATTTTAAACCTAAAAGGGGGAGTTGCACAAAAAAAGAAAAAGAAAAAGTGGGGGGTATAGCTCCTGATCCTTTTCCTTTTCCTTTTGGAAACCTTAGGCTTAGCAATCACCATAATCATTTCCTAATTTCCATTACCATTTCTCTGCTCTTCGCCACCCTTCATCACCGATCTCACCACTCCAAACCTTTCTCTTCCATTTTGCCAACTCCTTAAGCCGCAGGCCATTGTCTCCAGCTCACAGCAACTGTGCATCATTTTCAACAACTCTTGGATCTATCCTTTCTACTAGAAATTTGCTAGCCTCCTCAATTTCTTACTGTCTCTACAGCTCGGGTCTCCATTTCTAGGAAGACCCGCAACCTCTCACTAGATTTTTTTGGTAAGATTGAGCACAAAATTGCTTCTTTTCCTTCATTTCAATAGATATAGTGTAAATTTTGACTGTTTAAATTGGGAAATTGTATGTGCTCTTTCTTGCTTCTAAGTTTGCTGCACTATTGAGGCTTGTTATGGTTGTTAGTGTAGATTAATTGTCACATTTTGCTCTAGGTGCAGAAAATTTTTTGAATGACTTGATTGTCATGATTAGTTGATTATCTTGTGAATTCTTGTTGTTATGCTTGCCTTGCTATAGTTTTTCACATTTTAAACCTACTATTCTGTTTTGAAAATCTCCATTGTCATGGTTGCATTTGTTGTTGCATTTTGCTTGAATCATTGCTGCTTTTACTGTTGCATTTTGCTTGAATCTTGGCTAATTTGTTGTTGTTTTACCCATAAAATCCTACTAATTTTGCCATAAAATTCTGTTGTTCACCTAGAAAATTCTACTATTTTACTGTTATTTTGTTGCATTTCCCTTACTGTTTTCTGCATTGTTTTAAACCAGAAAATTTTGTTTTTTCCTGCACTTTTCCCTGCTGTTTTTGTCATAAAATTTTGCTGTTTTTATTCAAAAAATGCTATTATTTTGTTGCTGTTTTACTGATGTATTACCCATGAATTTATTGCTGTTTTTACCCAAAAAATCTTGCTATTTTGCCAAGAAGAATTCTGTTGTTTTTGTCAGAAATTTCTACTTTTTTAAACCATAAATAGTTGTTGTTTTGTCTAGAAAAATTGTGTTGTTCTTGCTAGAAATTTCTGTTGTTTTTACCATAAATTGTTGTTGTTTTGCCCATAAATGCTGTTGTTGCGTGTGACATTAAGAGTTGTTTTAAGCACACTTTAAGTGTGGTTAAACATATTTATATGTTAACAAGATTTCAAATGGGTAGAAATAGTAAGGGTGTGTAGGAAGAAATTATAACCTTGAATACTTGCTATTGTAAACCTACAGGAAGAGGTAAGTAAAAGTATGGTAATGCCTTTGGGTTTGAGGTAAAGGTTTTTGAAAACATATTTCTAATGATTTTTATAATGGTGGCAGGACTAAACCCGTTTTACATAAACACAAGCATGATTGGTTTGAAATGAAATTATTATCATTTTCATTGAGTTGCATGCCTACTTAGAGTTTACTTGATTGTCCTGATGATCTGAAAATTATTTGTAAATTATGGTTTTCTTGTTAAATCTTGCTTGGTTTTGTCTCTAATACGGCCATGTTTTATTGTGCCTACTAGTGGGAGGTTTATAAACGCTAGTACATGTCGATATGTTAATTGTGGAACTGGTTCATGTTATATTGTTATCCAGCTAGTGGGATTATACACTAACAAATCTTGTGCTTGTCACTAGGAGGTTTATAAACATTGGTCATGACTTATAGATGAGACATCTATTTCATTTCCCGTATTTATATTGTTTTTCTTAAAATTTATGCTTAACTATAAATGAGGATTATTCATATTTTACTTACTAAGATATCTCATAGTTTTTTTTTTCTTGTCCATCATTTCAGGTAGTGAGATCCGAGACATGGGAAACCAAGGGGAGTGATAAGATAGAACGCTAGCCTCTTGTCTTTTGGAGTTAGGTTGCTAAAAAGAAAAAAAATTGGACATAGCCTTTGGATCATAGAGCATTTTTTTGTAGACCAGACTTTCCCTTGGAGATAGTAAAGGCTATATGTGATGGTCTTGTATAAGTTTTTGGTATACTATTAACCTAGTAAAGCTTTGGTTCTTGAAAGTCAAATTTTATTTTAAGATATTGATCTTAGTTATGAATTGTTAGTTATGAATTAAGCAGGTTTAAGCCTTGTACATTTGTGGGATCCAATTATAGGTGTACGACATCTGTTTTGCTCCCAGTTTTGGGGAGTGACAAAACCTTGACCCATTGTCTATGATGCAATAAAAACCAGAGGTATAAAGTTAGTTGATGCTACACTCTCGAATGGTTAAGAACAAGAATGATAAGTCAGGATAGAACATCACAAAATAATCTTAATAAATTTTGTAAAGTTCTAAAATGAACGAGAGAAAAGTCTCAAAATTCTCAAATTCAATAGTTGCCTCAATTATGGTTACAAGCTTTTTAAATAGGGAAGACTAATCCTAATTAGAGTAGGAAACTAATGCCCTAAGTCCTAAACCTAATAACCATGAATTGGGCTTCAAATAAATGAATGTTTAGCCCAAAATAATACAAAAAAACATGAATATCACTCAAAATAACCTAAAACAACATGAAATATCAGTTTGCTACAAATTGCGACAAAATTGTGTAATTTTGACGCAAACTGTGTAATTCAGCATAAATGACCTTGATAAGCTTTTCTTGGACTTGAATGATGTTTACCATGTCATGATAATCATCCAAACTTCAATTTACTTGTTGCATGTTGTTTTCAATCCAAATCTGCTCAATAAGGCCATTTAGAGCTTCTCGCATCTTTTTAGCTTTAGCTTTCATGACTGGACCTCCTTAAATGTGTAATAGGTCCTTTGACATGGTACATGTGCTATCGTCTTAATTCCCATCATTCTTTCTCTCCTCAAAAGGATTTGTCCTCAAATTGTCACCTTCATCAAAAGGAGAAAGATCAGAAACATTAAAAGTAAGACTAACATTATACTCACCAGGAAGCTCCAACTTGTATGCATTGTCATTAATCCTCGCAATCACTTGAAATGGTCCATTTCCTCTTGGTTGCGGCTTAGAACACCTTTTTGAAAGGAATCGCTCCTTGCGCATATGCACCCAAACCCAATCTCCAAGTTCAAACACAACTTTTTTACGCCCTTTGTTGGCTTGATTTGCATATTGCTTAGTTCGTCGCTCTATATTGTCTTGTACTCTCTCATGCAGTTGCTTAACCACTTCAGCTTTCTTTTTTCCACGTTCATCAATAGGTAAAGGCAATAAATCCAAAGAAGTAAGTGGATTAAAATCATACACAACTTCAAATAATGAACAGTTAGTTACTGAATGGACGCTCCGATTATAAGCAAATTCAACTTGTGGCAAACACTCTTCCTAATTCTTCAAGTTCTTCTGAATAATAGAACATAATAAGGTTGACAACGTCCTATTAACCACTTTTGTTTGTCCATCAGTTTGTGGATGACAAGTAGTCGAAAACAATACTTTAATTCCTAATTTTCCCCACAAGGTCTTCCAAAAGTAACTCAAGAACTTAACACCACGATCAGAAACAATATATCCTTGGAACGCCATGTAAACAAATAATCTCCTTGAAGAATAAATAAGCAATATTGGTTGCATCGTTAATTTTATGACGTGGAATAAAGTGTGCCATTTTTGAGAACTTGTCAACAATAACAAAAATAGAATTGTTACCAAAATCTATAAATATATCAACCCAAGGGTCAATAGGTATGGGCAAAGGAGTATACAAACCCTGTGGTAGAACTCTAGATTTTGCTTGTTTACATGTTATGCATCCTTCACACATCCTTTTAACATCCCGTTTCATATGTGGCCAAAAGAAGTGATTGTTCAGAATATCTAAAGTTTTCCTAACTCCAAAATGTCCCATTAAGCCACCCGCATGTGATTCCCTTATTAAAAATTCTCTTAATGAACAGTTGGGCACACATAATCGATTTTCTCCAAATAAGAACCCATCGTGCCTATAAAACTTATCAAATGCTGTCTTCTCACATGCATTACACATATTAGCAAAATTTGGATCATTAGCATATAATTCTTTAATGTGCTCAAATTCTAATAACTTTGCACTTAGACTAAAGATAAGTGTATACCTGCGAGATAATGCATCATCCATAATGTTTTCTTTTGCTTGCTAGTACTTGATCAAATAGGGAAGTATCTCAAGGAATTCCACCCACTTAGCATGTCATCTATTCAACTTACCTTGTCCCTTTAGGTGCTTCAACGATTCATGATTAGTATGTATCACAAACTCCTTAGGCCAAAGATAATGTTGCCATGTTGCTAAGGCCCTTACCAATGCGTACATCTCTTTGTCATAAGTAGGATAGTTAAATGCTATACCAATCAATTTTTCACTGAAAAATGCAATAAATAGCCACTCTTGCATCAAAATAGCACCAATGTCAATACTTGATGCATCACATTCAATTTCAAAAGTTTTAGTAAAATCATGTAAAGCAAGTAACGGTGCAGAAGTTAAATTCTCTTTAATCGAATTGAAAGCATTCTTCTATTCACTTTCCCACTTAAATCTAACACTTTTTTTCATGATTTCAGTCAACAAAGCTGTAATTGTGTTGAAGTCCTTGATGAATCTCCAGTAGAAACTCGTCAAACCATGAAAACTTCGCACCCTAAAAATATTCTTAGGTGTTGGCCATTCTTTACTAGCCTTAACCTTTTCTTCGTCTACTACAATTTCATTAGCTGAAACAACATACCCTAAAAAGATAATCTAATTTGTGCAAAATGAACACTTTTTAAGCTTAGCAAACAACTTTTCTTTTCTCAAAACCTTAAGTACCATTTGCAAATGCTTAATATGATAAGTTAAACTCTTACTATATATCAGAATCTCATAAAAAATAAAAAAAAAACACAACCACAAATTTTCCAATGAAAGCACGCAAATCGTGATTCATTAATCTCATGAATATACTAGATGCATTAGTTAATCCAAATGGCATAACTAACCACTCATATAAACTATGTCTTGTTTTAAAAGTTGTTTTACATTCATCTCCTTCCATCATCCTAATTTGATGATACCCATTCTTTAAATTAATTTTTATGAATATGCAAGAACCATGCAGTTCATCTAACATGCACAACTAGAAAACAAAGTATATTCAACAGAAATTTCTATCGAATATAGCCATGTTTCTATCAATTATCTCTTAATTGATAGACATAATTGATAACCATCTATGTCGTATAAACGGCGGTCGAAAATGAATACAATCGACAGAAAATTTTCTATCAAATATAACAATATAATCGACAGCTAATATCTATCGAATATAATATAATCAACAAAAATTGGCTGACGATAATGGTTTTTTAATTTTTGGAAGGTATATTTGATAGCATTTGGCTGTTGAATAAAGTGAGATAATCGATAGCATTTGGCTATCGAACATTTTTTTTTTTTTGGTAATTATATTCGACAGCCAAATGCTGTCGATTATATCACCTTATTCGACAATATTTGGCTATCGATTAAATTGCTATTATCGACAACATTTGGATGTTGAATATACTGGGTAGAAGAATAAAAAAAATTGAAAATTCAACAAAATCTAGAATTACTTTTATGGCATTTTCTGTTAATTTTATATAAAAAATCAACAAAATGAACACAATTATCAAGTCCCCTAATTTAACAATAATATTAAATGTAATAGATAAACATAAATAGAATTAAAATGAGCATGAATCTTAATTATTTTGAAATATATTTGTAATATCCCAAATTTTCGAGAATATTTAAGTGTAAGTTAAGGACTTGATTGTGGAAAAATATTGTTTTGGGCTTAAGAGCCGAAATGTCCGAACTTGAGGGACTTAAAAGAGGAGAATTTGGATAAGGATGGCTTATTTCTTTTCTCCCTTTTCCTCTTTCTTCTCCAGCCCGTTTCTGCTCTTCTTGTTTTCCCGCTGCACCCAAAAGAAAAAAGAAAGGGAACCCAGCCATGCCTTGGAGAAACTAGTGAGAAAGCTTGGTTTTTGGCCTTCCTTTCTTGCTCTAGAACACACCTAGAACCCAAAAATCTCTCCCCCTTTGCTGGAAAAGCCGGATCTGCCCTGCTTTGCTCTGTCCTTCTGCCGGCTGCTCCTGCTTTGTGGGGGTGATTTGCTCCGGTTTTGGGTAAGAAACAGCTACCAATCCCTTTGTTCTTGCTTGAATTAACTTGGGTTTACCTTAATTTCCTCTTGGTTCTCCAATTTTTGAGGTAGACCGTGAGTTTCTCCCCAAATTGCCGCCGGCTTCTCCCTCACCAGCCAAGCCCGGTTTTGCTTGCTGGAAAATTCTGGTATGGACAGCCCTCCAAGCCTCAAATTTGTCCATTTATTTGCTGCTTTGTGTTTTCCGAATTTGACAGAAAAATTGGGGATAATTTCGGTAGCAATTAAGAGGGATTTAAGTGTGTTTTGTTGCTTAATTCAAGTGAGATTTATGTGATTGAGTGTTAATTTCTTGTTGTGATTTTTGGAGAGAAAACCCCATGAGATTATCTAGTGTTTTGGCCAATTTTGGAAGTGCAGTTACTGTTCACGTCGTGCACTGTTCACGTGTACTGTCCACAGAACACTGTTCACACCCCAAGGGTCAACATTTAACGGGAATTTAAATGATTAGTTTGTGATATGAGAACGAATTTGGAGATATTTGATCATGTGGGGATTTATGGAAATAGCATTGTGATTAGGAATGATCCTAATGATGAGTTTACCTTGAATTTGTGATAGTCCGGTATTAATTCTGAGGTGTTTTGATTAGGTTCCCGATAGTTCTGTCAGTTTAGTACGTGAATTGAGTGCTCGGTTTTATGCGAGTGAGGTAAGTAAATTTATGGTAATGCCCGTACTGTTTTTAAAAGCATGTTTTGATTTGTTTTTGAAGTGGTGGCAGGACTAAACCCGTTTTACACAAGTATGACTGATTTGAAGTGAAATGTTTTATGCTTTTCACTAAATTGAGCATGCCTACTTGAAATTTAAGTGATTGTCCTGATGATTTGAAAGTGATTGTGAATTGTGATTTTCCTGTTAACTTCTGCCTGTTTTGTCTCCGATATGGTCATGTTATTCGTGTGCCCGCTAGTGAGAGGTTTATAAACGCTAGCACATGTCGCCATGTTACTGATAGAACCGGTTCGTTTCTGTAACCCTACTAGTGGGGGTTAAACACTAGTAATTTCTGTAGCCTGTCAGTGGGAGGTTTATAACACTGGCCGTGACCTATAGAGGAGACGTCTATTTCGTTCCCGTACTGTATCTGTTTTGCGTGATTGCACATGTGGCATGCTATAAGTTTAATAAGGGCACTCCATATTTTACTTACTGAGTTTATCTCATAGTTTTTCCTTGTCCACCATTTCAGGATGTGAAACCGAGGACGGGGAAACCACGGGAAGTGACGAGTTAGAAAGCTAGCCATTTCAGGATTGATATAGATTTTAGAAGTAAATCATGATCTTGTAAACCAGAGTGTATTTGGAGATTTTATGATATCAGAGTAAATTTTATAATTTGATCTTCAGATTTTGGTGGTATCAGAGTGTGATGTGATAAGTTCCGAGCCTTGTGCATTTGTGGGACTCGTCTCACGAGTGCACGGCGTCTGCCACGTTCCTGGATTTGGGTTCTGGGGCGTGACAATATTCTTGTTCCTACCAAAAATAAAAGAAAAAAATGTAATCAAGTAATAAGAATTCAAAAAGAAAAGAAAATAAAAAGTATAAATTACAAAATTTACCTCATATTACTTCATAATCAATGTATTAAAATCTAAAAAAAAAAAGAAGAAGAACTATTAGTATATTAAATAGTAAGAATTCAACAAAAAAGAGAGAAGAATGAAAAGAAAGAAGATGATGAATTGTCAACAATTAAGATAATGAATTAGGTATTAATGAATAATAACATAAAACTAAAGATGTTTACAAAAATATAAATAGGAGAATATAAAAGATGGAAGAAAAAGGAAAATAGAAGGAGAAGAAGTTGAAAGAAGAAATAAGATGTTACTTGCGAAAAGAAGGAGAAGGGAAAAGGCAAAAAGATGAAAATCAAAAGACAATGATATGTTCTGATGTCGAAGTGGCTATATATTTAAAACATATTCGAAAGAAATCCTATCGATTATAGTGATTATTTCTATTGATGATATTTCAAATTTAACTAGTCGGGAAATTCAATTTTTTTGGGGAGGTATGGCGGGCACAGGGTTATAATCAACAGCCATATTTTCTGTTGAATATACTTATAATCGATAGACATTTGTTTGTCGATAAGTATATTCGACAGAAAATATGGCTGTCGATTATAGTCTGCAGTTTTTTTTTTTTTGTTAATTTATTTTTTTATTTTTTAATTCTTATATTTAAACAGATATACTATCTCTTTAAACTGATGGGCAAATTGATTTTTTTAATTCTCTCTTTTTTGTTGATTTTTTTTAAGTTTCTTTTTATTGATTCTCTTGTAAAATTTTTGGTTTTAAAACTAATAAGAATCAATTTTTTTTGAGCTTGTAATTAATTATAGAAATTCTAGTTTAGATAAAGATATATATATATATGCTATTTTTTTGCAAAATATTATATTGTAATTTTTTTCTTTTTACTATAGGATTGTTAGATTTTATTAATATTATATATTTTGTTAATATAAACTCTAATACTACATAACTAAAACTAGTTTAAGTTAATAAATATATACTACTTATCCTACACAATATATATATACATATGCACTACATATATATAAACATTTATAATATAAGTTTAAAATATCAATGTCTCTAAGTAGGAGATGGTAAGTGATTAGGTCTAAACCCTCAAGAAGAAGGACCACCAGTCTGGGGTTGTGTAACATTTATAAAATATTGTTGGCTAAGTAAGTGCATGTGCTCTTGGAATCTCCTCTTAAATCTGGCCTCAAACTCTGATACTCTTTATGATACCTGTAATATCCCAAATTTTCGGGAATATTTAAGTGTAAGTTAAGGACTTGATTGTGAGAAAAGATTGTTTTGGGGCCTAATGTGAATATTCTGAAACTTGAGGGACTTAAAAGTGGAAGGAATTTGGATAAGGATGAGTTTCTTTTCTTTTTCTTTTTCTTCTTTCTTTCCTTCCCAGCCTTGCGTGTTTCTGCTCTTCTTTTCTCCCTTGCAGCTCCCGAAACCCCCCCTCTAAGCCGCAAGCACCAGCTTTGAAAAATTGGTGAGAAAGCTTGGAATTTCTCCTTTTTTCTTGTCCAAGAACCTGATTTGGAACCCAGAAATCTTTCCCCCTTGTTGGAAATTCCAGATCTGCCTTGCTCTGCTTGTCTTCACCGCCAGCTGCTATGTGGGTGGGTGATTTCTGGGCATTTTTCAGTAAGAACAGCCCCTAATTTCCTTTGTTCTTGCTTGAATTGGCTTGGGTTAACTTTGATTGCTCTTATTCCCTTCAATTTTTGCAAGTCCCGTGAATTGCTCCTGCAGCTTGCCGCCGGCCTCTTCCCCCCTACAGCTCCGGTTTTTACAACTGGAGAATTATGGTATGTGGCAGCTTCTCTAAGTGCAAGTTTTAGCCATTTAATTGCTGCCCTTTGTGTCCGAAATTCTGGATTAATTAGGGGAGAAAATTGATAGTAATTAGACCATGATTTAGCTTGATTCAAGTGAATTTATGTGATTGAGTGTTAATTGATTGCTGTGATTTTTGGAGTGAAATCCCGTGAGATTAGCTAGTGTTTTGGCCAATTTGTGAAAGTCGGTGTTACTGTTCATGTCAGGGTTACTGTTCATGTCGTGGTACTGTTCACCGACACTGTTCACACCCCGAGGGCCAACATTTAACAGGAATTTAAATGATTAGTTTATGATATGAGAACGATTTTGGGGATATTTGATCATGTGGAGATTTATGGAAATAGCATTGTGATTAGGAATGATCCTAATGATGATTTCAGCTTGAATTTGTGATAGTCCGGTATTAATTCTGAGGTGTTTTGATTAGGTTCCCGATCGTTCTGTCAGTTAGTGCATGAATTGAGTGCTCGGTTTTATGCAAGTGAGGTAAGTAAATTTATGGTAATGCCCGTACTGTTTTAAAAGCATGTTTTGATTTGTTTTTGAAGTGGTGGCGGGACTAAACCCGTTTTACACGAGCATGACTGATCTGAAGTGAAATGTTTTGTGCTTTTCATGAAATTGAGCATGCTTGCTTGAAATTTGAGTGATTGTCCTGATGATCTGAAAGTGATTGTGAATCGTGATTTTCCTGTTAACTTCTGCCCGTTTTGTCTCCGATGTGGTCATGTTATTCGTGACACTGCTAGTGGGGGAGGTTATAAACGCTAGCACATGTCGACATGTTAGTGAAAGAGCCGGTTCATTCAACCCAGCTAGTGGGGGTTAAACACCAGCAAATCGTGGCCCTGCTAGTGGGGATTATACACTGGCCGTGACCTATAGAGGAGGCGTCTATTTCATGCCCGTACTGTATCTATTTTCGTGATTGTACTTGTTGGCATGCTTTAAGTTTGATAAGGGGCACTCCATATTTACTTACTGAGTTTATCTCATAGTTTTTCCTTGTCCACCATTTCAGGATGTGAAATCGAGGACGGGGAAACCACGGGAAGTGACGAGTTAGAAGGCTAGCCATATTGTAATTGGACATGAAATTTTAGAAACAAATTGTGATCTTGTAAGCTAGAGTGTATTTGGAGATTTATGATATCGGAGAAATTTTAAAGATTTGATCTTCAGATTTTGGTGGTATCAGATTGTGGTGTGATAAGTTCCGAGCCTTGTGCATTTGTGGGACCCGTCTCACGAGTGCACGGCGTCTGTCGCGTCTCGAAATTGGGTTTTGGGGCGTGACAATACCTTTGTATGAATACGTGCGACCACCTCTGTCTGAACTTACTCTGCCATTTCTTCCCAAACTTGAGTAAGCTCAGACTGCAACTGTTGGACTTGTGTCGTAAGAATCCTAATGGTAGAAGAAGAGGCCTCACTCATGTCATACCATCACTAAGGGATGCCATGCTTTACTGGATCTTGTAATGTAGACATCCCTTTCATCTAACCTTTTTTGGGGGGTCCAACCACCTCATTCTAAATTAGTGGATCCCATTCTGGCCACAAATCCTTGTTTGGTCCATGCTTCTCTACATATTTTTGGTGAGCATCGTTCTATTTCAAGAAAAAAATTTTCATTAGTTAGCAATTTCAAATGATAATGGGAAATCAAATGAAAAATAACAATGATTGAGTACAATGGAGAGAAAATTGTATCACTTTAGCTTTTGATCAAAATTGACATTAAAAATAAATATAATTAATATCATAAAAGAATTAGATACTTACATATGTTTGCTTAGCCTATGAACATATCCAAATGGGTGGGGCATCTTCTGGAGCATCAAGTCGACGAGTCATGTGAGTCAACAAGTATGACTCTAAAAGTGTCGGCCTAACTCCTCTTTTAGCTACCGATTAAAACATCAATAAAATCAATAACATTTCCATTTTTATCGTAAACAAAAATAATTTTTATATATAAAAGTATATTCTACTAACTAGTCGATCCTCGTGGACTCCAATAGAAATGCATCCAGTTGCGTGGGTCACACGGTCACCCTTTACTTTGTTTTTTCCAACCTTTTTCTTGGAGTGCAATATATTTTGGACTCCTCCATTTTGCCAGCAAAATCTTAAAGGTTTCCTTATGCATGAACTTGGGCAACTTCTTGTACTTGACCAATGCCTTTCAAGCTCGATGAAGCTCGTCTAGGAAACGGTTCTAACATGTAATCTCCAAATTTTATACACACGAGCATCATCTTCTTCCCAATAATATGTCCTTTGCAATGATTAAAAAAAATAAGTTAAATTTTAATAATTCATTTGATTTTTTTTTTTAAAAGGGCAAAGTTCTGCTTAAAATATCAATTTTTCACTATTAATAAATAAAATGTAAAAAATCATATAAAATATATTCAATACTTCCATACCATAATCGAAAAATGATAGCATCTAAATAAATTCTCAAAAAATACTTCATAACCAATTTACTCAAAATGAAATTCGATCATGGAAACAAAACATAATCCAGCAACAAGAAAATGACCATTCCATATTCACCACCATTGATCCGAGAAGGAAAATAAAAAATAACAAAATGCTTATATGAATTAATCTAAAACATGCTTCTATGAATTGATGTCACTTTCACATAAACCTTAAGCAAAACTTCAAAAACTTGTCCAAAAGCAAGATTTACTAAAATTCTATAAAACTTATTAGTAATCACTGCAAACCAAATATATCTTCATTTTATTCTATAATTTTCATACTTGAAAATTCTCCCAAGCAATCCTCTTCTTTTCCTCAGGCCAACTAGACCAGAAAAACATTGGCTCATCATATAAGTACTTCCATATTACTATTGTAGTCCTCCCAAACCTCTCATGGTTGAATGTGCCTCGACGATTTAGGCTAAGCAGCTTCCTTTGACTCGGGTCTGCAGGAGCATCATCTCCTTTATCCATGCCACGTCCTATCTTTGGGATAGCACATGATAGCTCCTCCTCCAACTGAGCGTCTAACTCAAGATCAAGCACAGCAAACTCAGCATCTAACTCAACCTCCAAATTATGCTCTTTAGTGTCCTTCTCCATTGTTGCATCATCTCCAGGGTATTGGTCATCGTCCAATGGTGGCTATGTAATAATGGGTTGCTCCTGCTGCTGTTGTGTGGGAAGCTGAGTTAAACTAGAAAGTTGCTGCTGTGCGAGAGGTTGGCTCAAGCTGGGTAGCTGCTACTGTGTAGGAACAACCTTACGAGGCTCCCGAATAAGATGATGAAGTTGCCTTTGTGGTTCACCCTATGGATCAATCTGCTATCTAGAAAAAGATGCACCTCGCGTAACTCATCTCATATCTGTATACAAAAAATAATGGAAACACATCAACTTTCTTTTCATAAAGATCACCAAAATTTTAAAGAATAAAAAAAAATGACAAATAAAAATATTCAATTAATAATTTTTTTATGATATAAGAGCGACCAAACTCATTAAATAAGTTCAATAGTTTAATACAAGATGAAAAAAAAAATCATACATTTGATTAAAATGTATATATTAATAAAATAAATCATACTTATATTATATTTATTTTTTTAAAATAAATATAAATAAAATTAATTAATTAATTAATTATTACTAAATTTTAATTTAAAAAATAAAAAGATAATAATTATTTTAAAAATAGAGACAACAATATTTCTTATAATGTCAGTTAAAAAGTACTTGACTTGTGACTGATTCAATTCTATGTTCCACAAATTGAAATGAGATTAAAGAAATTTAAAAAATGAGAAAAAAATTGAAAAGTATAAATATCAATACATAACTAAATATATATATAAATAACTATAAATATATAAGATATATATTTATAAGTAAATAGATATAAATATAAATATAACTTCACTATGAATATCAATATAAATAATTATAAGTGTATATTGATATAAATATAAATATAAAAAAGTCCTTCATTTATTAACTTATAATAAAGAAAATATAAATAGTCCTTTATCCCTTGTTCAATTAATTAAAAAAATTAAATAAGATACATCTAATCACTATCACTCTCGATTAAGTAATTTGGAACTTCTTTTTCCGATGTGTCAATTCCATCAAACTCTTCCTCTTCATCATCATCATCATCCTCACCCACACATTCTTCCTCTGCCACATATGGCAATTGCATGACCTCACTAATTACCGCTTGTTATCCCCATTGAGATGCTAGTGAAACATGATCGTTTAAAACAGTTGAGGGTTGCACCAATTGTGGCATAGGAGGACCATCATCTTGATAGTAATCATTTCCACCATCACTCAATGATGAAGTGTCAATTATTGCTTTTGCCCTAATCTTACATGCAGCAAACCACCATTTTCTACAAGGATTTTGAGATGGATAACGGGTGTAAAACACCTGTTGAGCTTGACTGGCCAATATGAATTGTTTATCTGTTTGTAATTTAAACCGAGGATTTACGTCAACTATACCAGATGTCGGATGGACTACAATGCCTTTGTTGATATCATACCACTCACACTTGAATAAAATCACTGATTAATGAACATATGAGTCAAAATATTGAAGCTTGATTATTTCCTTCAAACTCCCATAATAATCTGATTCATCATTGAAAGTGATTCTCTTCACACAAACACCGCTATTCATGGTCTTTTTATTTTGTCCATATGCGATAGTCTAAAACCGAAATCTATTAACCCAATAACCATTATACACTCTAACATTACTGACTGGTCCAATTACTAAAGGCAAAAGGTGAGGATTAACCTCATATCTTCCACTACGCACATACATTTGTTATAAAAATATTTAATAATTAACCCTAAAATATATAAAAATTGAGATCTTAATAATAAAATTATTAAAATAAATTACTTACTGTTGTCTTAAACCAAGGAATAAATTCAAGCTGCTGTTTGATTTGAATTTGATCATCTAATAGATCGGAACATACTTGATAATAAAAAAGTTCACACGAAGAAGTTGGAGTAAACAATCTATACATACTAGTAACTTAAAAAAAAATGAAAGTTAGAACTAGAACATATGCAATTCATGGATTAACTTCTTCACAATTAAGCAAAACATAAAGTTCTGCTGCCTATAATTCTTTGGGTGACAGTGCACACCTACACATTTCTCCACCTAGTGGTTAACCTCGATGTTTAAAGACAGACAAACAATTATCCATATCATCATTCCTGGCAACAATGCTTCTTGGTTCATAATTCAATCTTGTCTCTATGTCAGATCCAAAATAATGCGAGTAAAAGAAGGTAATTTCTGAAAGAATATTAGACTCACAAATTAAAGCTTCAACACGATTTTTGTTCAACACTTTTTTCTTAAGGTTATGTATTTTTCTATTAAACAAATAAGAAAATTAATTAATAACACTAATATACTCATGAATGTTATTGTGGTGCAAACATATTATAAGAAATATACCTTTTAAAAGGATACATCCAATGAAATTGGACAGGTCCTTCAACTTTTGCCTCATATGGTAGATAGATAGTCATATGCTTCATCGAGTTAAAGAATGCTGGCAAGAATACTTTCTCTAACTTGCAAATGGTCTCAACAATTTTTTCCTCCCACATTTCTATGTTGCTGACTTGAATAATTGGAGCAGTTAAAGCTCCAAAAAAGTTACTAATCTCAGTTAAGGGACCCTAAACTTCATCTATGAGAAAATCACGGAAAGCGATTGGCAAAAGACACTGCATGAATACATGACAATCATGGCTTTTCATCCCAAACAATCGACGTTCCTGCATGTTAACACACTATGCTATGTTGGATGCATACCCATCTGGGAATCTCAATTCCTTTAGCCATTGGCAGACAAGAGCTTGTTGCTCTCGAGTAAGAACATATGTAGCATTGGGTTTTATAGCCGTTCCATCATCTTGAGGTATCAATTTTAATTCAAATCTATTGTAATACAGTTGTAGATCTAATACAGTTATAGCCGTTCCTTCATACAACCCTTGTCATCCATGATAGTATTTTTAATGTTGTCTAAAAAATTCTTCTCACAATGCATGCAATCAAGGTTATGACGAATCAATAAATCCTTCCAGTATGACAATTCCCAGAAGATGCTACGTTTCACCCAACTATGAAAACCACCAAATCTTACAATTGAATGTTTACGAAGTGGCTAGCCAAATATTATGTCAAAGAGCTGATTAACCCTTTCTTCCATCAAAGTACCATC